CTTCCTGTTTGAAATCAGAATCCCAGAGCTGCTGTGGTCACTCAGCAAATGTGCCTGATGCTCCTGATGATCATATGTGCATCAAACTGAGGGCAGTGTTACCTGCATTGCATCACAAAAGTTTGGTGATCACGGTGTCTTAGTTAGGGTTTCTTTTGCTGTGTAAGGACCATCACCATGGCAACTCTTATAAAGGAAAACATTTAATTGAGGCTGGTTTACAGTTCAGAGGTTTAGTCCATTATCATCATGGTGGGAAGCATGGCAGTATGCAGGCAGACATAGTGCTGGGGAAGGAGCTGAGAGTTCTACATCTTGAACAGGAAGTGAACTGTAACCCTGGGCGTACCTTAAGCATAGAAGACCTCAAGGTCTACCCCCACAGTATCACACTTCCTCCAACAAGGCCATACCTACTCCAAAAAGGTTAATAGTGCTACTCCTAATAGTCCTGCTTCCTTTGGGGGCTATTTTCTTTCAAACTACCCCACATGGTTTAGGTCCTCTCATTGTTATACTTAGTTCTAAACCTTGAAGCCGATACATTTGGAGATGCGATGCTCCATCTGAGCAAAGACAGGACAGTTCTCTGAATGACACTGGTGGCCAGGCTGCAGTGGCTGTGAGCAATGGCTTCCCTTTCCATTCCCAGGCCATCAATTCAGGGCTGTCAGTGAGGGATATGGTTCCCTTTACTGTGTCATGCAGTCCTGCCAGGTTTATCTGTACTGACCTCTTAGGTGCTTCAGAAGCCCTGTGTCACATGCTCAGTTGGAAGGTCCCTGTCCCTGCATTCTCTAGAGAATGTGAGACCAGCATAGAGGTGGGTGCCTGGTCTGGGGCATCCAGTATAGCGTTCAGCTTGTCCTCGCCAGTGTGTGCTGAAATCAGCACGTGGTGGCCAGGTGCTTTGGCTGCTGATCCCCGCACCCTCCACTAGGTGGTGATGGCGTTCTGCCTGACTTGCTCTACAGTTTTAGGGTTGTTTCCTTTGCGTTAGGATACTGGTGGCGGTAATTGCCAAAGATTTGGGCTGAGATGCCAACCCCTATGCTGTGGGCAGACATCCTGGGGGACTGCTTTGGATGGTACCAGTCACGCTGAACTGTTGTGTAGCAGATCTTCAGATGTCTGGGAGTTTCTGGGGTTCAAGACATCTATGCCCTATCCTGCCAAGTGAGTCTGCTGTCTAGTCCAGGCTGCTCCACCCAAGACTGCTTGAGAGACCTGTTCTGGTCTATTCCACACTCTGATCAGAGGGTCCTCATCACTGTAGACTCGCTGCTCATATAGACATTTACCTGGCTCTGCACCTTGTGGTAATTTTGTCTGGCTGTTGAGTTAATTAATGTCAATCCTGGTGAAGGAGGAAGACTTGATGGAAGGGTAATTACAGGAAAAAATGACCCCCAAATAACCACAAGCAAAAACAGAGCTCGCAAAGGTCACGTGTCAGAATGCCTGTCTGTATCGGTTTGAGTCTTGGCTCCACCCCTGCTCATCTGTTGGGGACAAAGTCTGGCTCCTGAGATACAAGGGGCCTGGAAGGCCCTTATCCAACCCTCTTTTGAGAATCTATTCTGTTTCAGGTCCTGTGAGGGAAACTGAGGCTCCAGGTGATTTGCCAAAGGGTCCGGACTGGTTAGCTGGACACACAGGCCCGCATCTCCCCTGACTCCTGGTGTCAGTCTGTGGGTGACAGAGGTAGAAAGTAGAAGCTGTCCTGGGTGTCTGGATAGGCAAGGGCAGCAGGTGTGGGATCAAGAGGGTCACATTGCCAAACATTATCCACAGAGCCATCCCAACTGTCGCCATAAGATCACCGGGTAGACCATGGGGGTGGTGAGAGAGACTGAATGTGAGGAGGCACAGGCTAACTCAGAACTTAGTTTGGTTTCTTGTTTTTTGAGACAGCATCTCCCTAGGAACCCCAGGGTGGCCTGGAGCTCCCCACTAGTCTGGCTTTAAATTCATCTTTTCATCTCAGCTTCCCGAGTACTGGAATTCTAGGTTTGTGCCACTAATGTTGCTTTCAAAGGTCACCCTTGGTGCTTCAGTCTCAGAGTGAATGGGCCAGTGATGGTCTCTACTCTGCCCACCAAGAGCTTGTTTTCAACTGATGGATAGATCACCTCTGCTGCTGACCCCCCGAGGCCACTGCCCACCTGTGGGGGGGGGGTTGGAAGCTCTACAGTGGGAACGGGAGACAGCAGGCATTGGACTGTGGGACACGGAGGGAGCAGGGAGAACAGAATGGGGAAGACAGAATAGGGGAGGGTCAGCCATAGCAAAGACATGGAAGTGTCATGGTCACTGAGGCCAGATAGCTTGAAGGTCTATGGTGGAAGCAGGGAATGGTTGGGAGGGAGGGAGAGAGAGGGACGGAGGGAGGGAGGGAGGGAAGGAGGGAGGGAGGGAGGGAGGGAAGGACTGCAGCAGGCTCAGGGACTGGTGTGCTGACTGAAAGGGCCTCAAATTGGCCCTGAGAGGTCATCAAGGACTCCTTAGAAAGAGCAAGCTGTCTTCACTCCTCCCTTCCCTGCCCAGGGAGGATGCCCTAAACTCATTGGCCAGGGGAGGATTTGCTGAACTGCTCAGGCCCCCGCTGGGGGAAAAGAGGGTTCCTATCAGGGCCACACAGCTGGCCAGGAGCAGGGCAGGGCTGCCACCGGCTCCACTTCCCCCAGTGTGGCCTCTGTCCTTCCTGGAACAGCTTTCCTATAAACTGAGCCACAGGCCCCTTCCAGAGGTCCAGCGTGCCCACGTTAGCACCCAGCTGCGGCCCACGACCAGGTCAGTGCAAGGCTTTACCGAGGGGCCAAAGAATGGAGAATGGAGACTTTCCTTGCATATCAACCTCTCTGCCTTGGGGGGAGTGAATAGTCACAAAAATGATAACGAAGAACAGAGAAGACTGTCTGGTTATGAAGGGGGAGAATATTAATGAACCTTCTGAGACAGATTGAGAGATTCTAGGGGCTCTGGAACCTCCTCATTTGGTTGCTTCTTGTAGGAACTAGAGTTCTCTGTCGTGGCGGCTGGTAGGTGCCTTGACTGAGCCCTGAAGAGGTGAGGGGAGCTAGGCAAGTCTTGGTTAAGTGAACCCTGTGGAAGTTAGCCTTGTAATGGAGTGCTAGACCAAACGTGCCTCAGTGTACCACGTGTATGTGTAGAGTCGAGCAGGATCCAATCCGAAGATGAAGGAACAAAGGGACAGTCGTACTGTGAAGGGAGGTGCCATTTCATCTCATCTGGTGACTCGTGGGACATCTGCAGGCCTCTGCAGGCCTCTGCAGGCCTGTCACCATTTCTGCCAGGCCTCTGTGTGCCTGGAAAGTACCATAAGGGATAGTTCTTCCTGAGCGCTCGGCACGCCATCCCAGCGCGATGGAACTACTGCTTTTAACCTTTAGCTTTCTGCCTAGGAAGCAAGTCAGTGTCTTTTTACCTTCTTTAAGTGTTTTTGTTTGTTTGTTTTTTAGTTTTTGCTTTGTTTCGGTTTCATTTTTAGAAATAGGGTCTCTTATATTTTTGGCGGTGGTGGCGCACGCCTTTAATCCCAGCACTCAGGAGGCAGAGCCAGACAGATCTCTGTGAGTTCAAGGCCAGCCTGGTCTACAGAGCGAGATCCAGGAAAGGCACAAAACTCCACAGAGAAACCCTGTCTCGAAAAACGAAAAAAAAAAAAAAAAAGAAAAGAAAAGAAAAAAAAGAAATAGGGTCTCATTGTGTAGCTCTGGCTGGCCTGGCATTTGCTATGTAGACCAGGCTGGCTTTAAATTTACAGAGATCCGCCTGCCTCTGCCTCTAGAGTGCTGGGATTAAAGGCATGGGCCACCACACCAGCCTAGATTTATTTTTCAAGTATGTATGTATTCATATATGAAATATATATACATATATGTGCATATATATTCATACACACACATGTGTGTGTGGAAGCCAGAAGACAACTCGTGGGAGTCAGCTCTTTTCACTGTGTAGGACCTGGGATTGAACTCTGGTCATCAGCTTTAGCTGCAAGCACCCTTATCTACTGTACCATCTTGCCAGCCCTCTAGACAGAACTTAGGGAAATATTCTGAAATGCAGGCAAAGTACTATTCAAGGGGCATGTTCTTTGCACTACGGTTTACATAAAGGGTTGGATATGATATGTAGTCCAATGGTTAGGGAGCATGACAGATGGGTTTGGGCAGCCCAGAGCAAGTACAGAAACAGACACAGAGTGTGGCAGGCTTCTGGGGCCTGCTTGGATGGAGGATTCTGCAGAAGCAAGGAGTGTGGGAGCCTTGGGAGAGCCTAAGGGCACTGGTGAATTTGTACCCTGTGGGGCACAGGCATTGCTGTGAATGGGAAGGTGCTTACAATGTACTGCACATAGATAGGAAGACATCCTGCTGAATGTTTAAGGGACCTGAGCTTAGTTACCCGAGGGTGGGACATGGCTCAGAATGGTTTGGGTTCATGAGTTAGCTCTAACGCTGTTATGAAGACTGGGGATGTTAGCTAACCTTGTGGTCTTCCTTCTCCGTTATGACAGGGCCACAGTGCTTCTTATCTCATGGCACATGTGTAATCACCTAACGAGGTGTATGTCCAAGGAGCCCTGTGTGTCCCAGACAATAAACGTTAGTCTCTATCATTAGCTCACATATGTGTTCTTCCCCCTTGGAGCATCCCTCCTCCTCTTGCCTTCTGTGTACAAACTCAATTATCTCCCACAGGTTCACCATCAGCTGACCCTCCCGAATTAGGAGGCCTTTGCCTTGTCTGGAGCAGGGGGCTTGGGGTGGGCAGTTAGAACCAGATGACCGGCTGGTTTCTGCAGAGCCCACGGAAGAGAAGCGCTTTTAAAGCCAGATCCTTGCCGGACGCTGTGGAGGGACCTGAGGGACACAGTCCCTAGGGGCTTGCCTTCTCAGCAGCTGTTCCAGCTCCGTCGCACGGTCTGGTTTCTCCTCTTTGCAGGTTGGACCAGAGACCCTGCAGTTGACACCATGGAGCCATCAGCCCGCGAGGGCTCCCCAGGTACTTACATTCCTCTGGCTTCTTCTGGTTTGCGGCCTAGACCTCCATTACTGAGTGCAGAGAAGTTGAGAACAGAGAAGGGGAGACCCAAGGGGGACTGCAGGACTCTTCCAACATCAGGTCCCTTCCTGAGGAGTCCAGCCTGGACTCACCTCCTCCCTATCCTGCTTCCTCAGGTGGGACCAGGACAGCCTGGGAAGCTGACTCTGTGGTTACGGTCACTCAAGCTCTTCAATCTGTCCTCTAACCTCATTCTCCTTCCCACCTAGGGAGCAGAAACTTCATTGAGGAAGCCGCTGAGTACCTCCAGCACACGCCGCCGGGGAGGGAAGATCTGAAGCTGCTGCTGACGGAAGATGGCGCCTGGGAGAACTTCGTGGCTGAGGCCCAGTTGTCCAGGTCACCTGCTGTTAGGTCACTTCTCCCCTTTTCTGCTTATGGATGTGCAGCCTCCATCCACCATGCGCCTTCCCCACCCAGCGCCCTGGTTCACATGCTAATTCTCTCTCCAAAGCATCTTCATGGATACACCCGGAATTGTGCTTTGTGAATGTTCCAGTGTCTCTCAGTGAACTGGAGAGCCACCAAAAGGCTGGACCACACACTACCTTTAAGGCTGACCTGGGGTTTTTCACTCTCCTGGAGGTCAATGCCTTTAGTCTCCGATTCCCTAGAGGTCAGAAATGACACCAAAGCTCCCACCATATACTGTATGGTTAAGACTGAGCACGCTATACAGGATGTTCCTGGGAAGAGAAGTGGTTAGGATCCTGAATTTTTCTAATTTTAAAATATTTTCAACTATGACGCATCATGGGAATGAGATCCAAGTCTCAACATGAACCACACTTTGATATTTTTTATACCTAGAAAACATCTTAACTTTCTATGTTCTTTTTAGCACTCTGGTGTTTGAGTGTGACCCATCCTCTGAGGTCAACTGAGGAGCTTTCCACTGTGGCATTGTTTTGAAGCCTTTCACACTTAGAATATTCAGTCAGGATTGCTCAGTTTGAATGAGCTTCCTGCCAAAGTCCCAGCCAACTGCAGACAGTCCTGGCAGGCAGGACATGACCAGGCCTACTGGTTGTTCTCAGCAGCTGAGGGCAAAGGAAACACTTCACAACCCACTAGCAAACATTCCATGAATTAGGGTGACTTATGCTCCAATCTTGCCTCCCCCTGTTCATCAGCAGAGTCCCCTCCCCCCACTCTGCCCCTACCCCCGGCAAATGTGCAGATGGCCACAGTGTTACCCTTGAGTAAGAAGGCATCTTCATCAAATGCCTGACACTAAGAACATCTTTTTTTTTTTGACGAGGTCTGATGTAGCCCATGTTGGCCTCAAACTCAGACATAACTAAAGATGACCTTGAAATTCTGATCTTCCTGCCTCTACCTCCCAAGTGCTAGAATTACCACCTTGTGACACCATACTGTAGACGAATTTCTAAATGGTCTTATTAAATAAAAAACATGGAGCCAAATATAGGGGCGAAAGCCTTAGAGATCAGGGAAATAGGGATAGCCACCAGTCAATCTTACCTCACTAGCTCTGCAGCTTCCAAATGCGAGCTACTTCCTGTCTTACCCATGCCTTTATTGCCTTGCTGTTCTCCCCTCTCATTGGTTCTTAGCCCAGCTACTTCACTTCCTTGTCACTGCCTGTCTGTACAGACCTCCAGGTCTCTATGGTTGGTACTGGGATTAAAGACATGTGTCACCACACTTGGCTCTGTTCCCTAGTGTGGCCTTGAACACACAGAGATCCTGTCTGCTAAGTGATTGGATTAAGGGCATGTGCTACCACTGCCTGACTTCTGTATTGACTTAAAATGCCTTGCTGTTTCCTCTGATCTCCAGGCAAACTTTATTAAAGCACAAATAAAATATCACCACATTTCAGCACAAATAAAATATCACCACACCATGCCTGGTTTTATACAGTGCTAGACCCCAGGGCCTCATGCATGCTTGGCAAGCATTTTACCTACTGCAAAATCCCCAGCCCCTAAAGAACATCTTTTAAAAGTTTTTTTTTTTTTTTTGGTTTTTTCGAGACAGGGTTTCTCTGTGTAGCTTTGCGCCTTTCCTGGAACTCACTTGGTAGCCCAGGCTGGCCTCGAACTCACAGAGATCCGCCTGGCTCTGCCTCCCGAGTGCTGGGATTAAAGGCATGCGCCACCACCACCCGGCTTTTAAAAGTTTTTTTAAGAGACTTATTTCTATTTTATATGTATGTCTTTGCCTGCATGTATGTGTATGTGCCTGATGCCCACAGAGGCCAAAAGAGGGCATTGGAACTCCTAGAACAGGCAATTGTGTGCCCCCATGGGGTGCTGGGAATCAAACCTGGGTCCTCTGGAAGAGCAAACAGTGCTCTTAGCTGCTGAGTCATCTCTCTAGCCACAAGAGCATCTTAAACAAACAAGATTTATTATAGTATATTATTTATTTATTTGGGTTTTTGAGACAAGATCTCTCTCTATAGCTCTGGCTGTCCCAGAACTCATTATGTAGATCAGACTGGCCTCAAACTCACAGAGATCCACCTGCCTTTACCTCCTGAGTGCTGGGATTAAAGGTGTGTGCCACCACACCTGGAAATTTATTTACTTTTTATTTATGTGTGTGTGTGTGTGTGTGTGTGTGTGTGTGTGTGTGTGTGTGTGTGTATGAATGTGTGTACATGCACATACCCATGTAGGCTGCAAGAGGGTCTCAGATCCCTTGGATTTGGAGTTATAGATGATTGAGAACCTTTCATATGAGTGCTGAGATTCAAACCCCAGTCCTGTACAAATGCAACAAGCACTCTTAATTGCCAATTCTCCAGTTCCCTGAAGAGCATCTTAACATGACTTTTACTCATTATCCTCTATTATTGATGAAGGACCATTTACAATTACCAAGTGTTCACCATCAAAAGATTCTGCATGTCTGTAAAATCCCTCTGGAGCCACAGAAAGCATGCTGTCAATTGTAGCACGAATCTTAAAAGGTCTTATTAATAAAATCAAACCTGAAGCCAGGTATTGGGGTGAATGCTGGAAGATCAGAGAAACAGAACAAGCCACAGCCACCTCACCTTGCCAGTTCCTCAGCTGATCCTGTTTCCTCAGACTAGAAGCCTCTGAGTCCTTATCCAGAATGAATCTCAGCTGAACTGCTGCTAAAAGCCTAAAAGCTTAACCAGCTCTAGTTCCTGGTTTTCATGCCTTATATACCTTTCTGCTTTCTGCCATCACTCCCTGGGATTAAAGTCTCACTTCCTGGGATTAAAGGCGTGAGTCACCATGCCTGGCTGTTTCCAGTATGGCTTTGAACTCACAGAGATCCGGATGGATCTCTGCCTCCCAAGTGATAGGATTAAAGTTGTGTGTACCACCATTTTCTGGCCTCTATGTCTGTCTAGTGGCTGTTCTGTCCTCTGACCCCAGAGAAGTTTATTAGGATGCACCATAGATTGGGGGACACAATATATCACCACGGTCATTTGCACAGGCCATGTGTTACGGAGTCTATAACAAACCATCAGTTTTATTTGTTCCACTGGGCATGGAACCGAGTCCCCATGCATATCAGACAGGCACGCTACCCTTGACCTCGCTCCACAGCTGAGCTCTCTCTCTTCATGCCTTGATGCCCATTACAGAGCGGATGCCGATACGTTGCGCGACGCTCTCAATGCCCTCACAGAAAACATGGCGGAGGAAGACCAAGGGAGGCTCCGGCGAGACCTGCAGGATGTGGAGAGGTTTGTGGCTAAGTTCCCTCAGGTGAAGCTGGAGCTGGAGGAGCAGGTCAGGAAGCTGCGCGCCCTTGCAGACAAGATTGACAAGGTGCACAGGGACTGCACCATCTCCAAGGTGGTGGCCGGCTCCACCAGCACTGTGTCCGGAGTCCTGACCCTCCTTGGCCTCGCTCTGGTACCTGTGACAGCTGGGGCCAGTCTGGGGCTCTTGGCGATGGGGATGGGCCTGGGAGCAGCAGCGGCTGTGACGAGTGTCTCCACTGGTATCGTGGACTACACAAATGAGTCGTCGGCCAGAACGAGAGCCCGCCACCTGGTGTCAACCAGCATGGACAGAGTGAAGCTGGTTGCTGAGGCCGTGGTCCATTCAGGGCCCCAAGTCTACCAGTTGTCTGAGAATTGCTACCGAGTCCTGCGATGCCTTCAACAGAGCATCTACGCCATCAAGCTCGCCAAAGCCAACCCTGCCTTAGCAGCCAGTGCTAAGCGCCTCTTGACCATGGGGCGCATCTCTGCCCAAAGCAGAGAGCAGGTGAAGAAAGCCTTTAGGGGCACTGCTCTGGCAATGAGCAGAAGAGCCTGGGTCATGAATATAGCCACCACAGGTGTGTCCCTCACTGAGGATGTGATCAGCCTTGTGAAAGAATCCAAGCGATTGCACGAGGGGGCAAAAGTGGAGTCGGCTGAGGAGTTGAGGCAGCAGGCTCAGAAGCTGGAGGAGAAATTGGAGGTGCTCGTCCAGATCCATGATAGTTTGCAGTCAGGCTCAAATCAGTAACATGCTTCCTCCCCCAAAGTAGCAAGAAGTCTGGGGACAGAGACAGAGGCATTTTGTTAGAGGAAATCAAGCCCCTCTAACATGGTGTTCAGGACTTAGGCATCTCTTCTTCTTCTTTTTTTTTTTTAAGGTTTATTTATTTATTTATTATGTATACAGTATTCTGTCTGCATGTGTCCTTGCAGGCCAGAAGAGGGCACCAGATCTCATTACAGGTGGTTGTGAGCCACCATGTGGTTGCTGGGAATTGAACTCATGACCTCTGGAAGAGTAGACAGTGCTCTTAACTGCTGAGCCATCTCTCCAGCCCTAAGAAATAAGTGAAATATTTTTATTTATTTATTTTATTATTATATTATTTATTTATTTTTCCTGAGACAGGGTTTCTCTGTGTAGTTTTGGTGCCTGTCCTGCATCTCGCTCTGTAGACCAGGCTGGCCTTGAACTCACAGAGATCCGCCTGGCTCTGCCTCCCAAGTGCGCGATTAAAGGTGTGTGCTACCACCACCTGGTGCATCTCTTCTTTTCAAAAACTTTGATGTCTGTGGTGATATATTGTGTTCCCTAATAAACTTTGTCTGAAGATCAGAGGACAGAACAAGCCACTAGATTAAACATAGAGACCAGGCTGTGGTGGCACACACCTTTAATCCTAGCACTCGGGAGGCAGAGATCCATCTAGATCTCTGTGAGTTCAAAGCCACTCTGGACTACATGAGATTGACTCAGTCTAGGAGAGAAAACAGAGCCAAGCAGTGGTGACACACATCTTTAATCCTAGTACTGGGATGCACACACATGCCTTTAATCCCAGGAAGTGATGGTTGGGAGGAGAAAGGTATATAAGGTGTGAGGAGATAGGAACTAAAGCCTTTTTGGCTGAGGAAGCTCATTTGGCTAGAGGCCTATCAGGTGAGCTCTTTCAGGCTGAGGAGTTGGTGAGGTAAAAGGTGGTGGCTGTGGCTTGCTCTGCTTTTCTGATCTTTCAGTTTTCACCCCAATAGCTGGCTCTGAGTTTTTATAAGAGCCATTATTATAAGACCTATTAGAATTCAAATAAAATCTGGCATCCAACTTGTGGGGAACGAATTCACCAAAAAAACTGCTTGCCTGTGGCTTTGTAGCCCCCAGCTCAGGCCCAAGATACATGCTGCCAGAATCTCCACCCTACCTGGGCCAGACCTAAATTTTCTTTTTGTCCCCATAAGACTACCAGCACCCCCAATCAGCATGAAGTAGCCTAGAAAACTATGCCCATATTCCCCCAAAAATGGATTATGAATGTTTGTGTTTGTTTAGGGGTTGGTTAAAAATTGTTATTGATCATAGTCAATCTCTAAAAGAAGAAAGGGGAATATGATATAGAAATGTATTATATAGAAATGATAGGAAAAAGGGTAGATTATTGAATCTACTCTAAAAAGAAAATACAGGAATATAGACATAAGATAAAAAGGTAGATTATTGAATCTACTTTTAAAAAACAACTATTAGTTTTAAATATCTTGCATTGGATTGGATTTTTGTATATTGTATACAAATTATGTATATTGATACAAACTTGAGATTGATTTTGTTAGAAAATACTGTGCATGTATTTCTAATCTTGTTCAAGATATTGTACCTATACAGTTCATTTAATAATGTAATACAAATTGCTAGTCCTTGAAAGTTACCATTGCCAACTATTGAGGATATAAGAAATGCAAGTTAATAGTCATTACAATCAAACTTGCAGTCATATTAGGTATGCTCAAGGTCAAACAGGAATATATTTTAGATCATCTTCAAACACTTCAGAGATCTACAGAATATGGCATTTAAGATGTTTTAATAATGTAGATTCTTTTTTTTTTTTTTAATGACAATGAGACATGTCTGCTCCTGGCAGCACCATTCTACTTCAGAGAAGATGATAGGCACTGAAGAAACTTCTTATGGAGTTTACTTTCTTTGTGGTAAAAGTTAGCCTTTGGACTAGAAAATGCCTTTGCCTCAACTGCTGACAGTATGCTGTTCAAAATGAACAAGCAGGACATAAAAGAAAGGACTGCCACACCTTGCCAAGACAAGATAGGAAGGTCTATCAGATATACTAGGCCTGTGGGCTGAAGATGGATATCTAATGTTTCAGAGGAACCTTGGTTGACTGTCCAGGCAGCCGGCTGTTTCTGTCATTTCTCACATTTTTTGGAAGTCATTTGTTTGCACTTCCTCCTTTCTCAGTTAATATTATTTCCTTCTTGGGTCTCTGAGGGAGTTGAAGTTATAGTTTTCCTTGTTAACAAATTCAGAAAAGAAACTCATTAAAAAGGTGTAAAGTGTGTAAGTTTGAAAGACATCAAAAGATAGTTTTGGGTTGGTAATACAAGTTAGGAAAGTGATTTAGGTACAATATTTTGGACTCACCAAAATAGGATAGATAATGGAGTATTTTCTCTGAATTTGTCAAATGTTAATAGACTGGACATTGTTAATGTAATTCTTGACTGGATATATTGTATATATTTATTGTACTTACTGTATATAGTTTTTATATATTAGTTACAACTCTTTTATTATTTTATACAAAAAAGAGGAAATGTGATATATTGTGTACTCCAATAAACTTTGCCTGAAGATCAAAGAACAGAACAAGCAACTAGATTAAACAAAGAGGCCAGACAGTGGTGGCACACACCTTTAATCCTAGCACTCAGGAGGCAGAGATTCATCTAGATCTCTGTGAGTTCAAAGCCACCCTGGACTATATGAGATTGACTCAGTCTAGGAAGAAAACAGCCAAGCAGTGGTGACACACACCTTTAATCCCAGTACTGGGATGCACACACATGCCTTTAATCCCAGGAAGTGATGGTTGGGAGGAGAAAGGTATATAAGGTGTGAGGAGATAGGAACTAAAGCCTTTTTGACTGAGGAAGCTCATTTAGCTAGAGGCCTATTGGCTGAGTTCTTTCAGGCTGAGGAGTTGGTGAGGTAAGATGTGGTGGCTGTGACTTGCTCTGCTTCTCTGATCTTTCAGCTTTCATTCCAATATTTGGCTCTAGGTTATTATTATTATTATTATAAGACCTATTAGAATTTAAGCAACAGATGTGTTTATATATGTATCTGAGCATGTGGGTGTAGGTTCCCTCAGAGACCAGGAGAGGGCACCAGATCTCTGGAGCTGGTGTTATAGGAGATTGTGAGCTGCCTAATATAGGTACTGGGAACTGAATTCTTGTCCTCTGCAGGATAGCCAGTACCCTTAACTGCTGAGCCACCTTTCCAGCCAGGGTTTGTCATTCCTGTGCCTGAGCACTGCAAGATAAATGCAGGAGACTAATGGAGCAAAGGGAAAGCAATGGGAGCCTGAAACAAGGAACCAGAGGGAACTAGAGAGTGTACTAGTAGGGAGTACTCCAAAACAGTTGATTCTGTAATAAATAACACTTAGGGGGCTTGAATAAAGAGGGTGGTGTAGGAGAAGCAGTGAGATGGCAGGGAAACTGACAAGTCAGGGATGGGAGAAAGCCAGAGGGAGGGTTCTAGGTGTGCAGGAGCCACAGTGACTTCCTAGGATGACAGTGGTGGTGGTAAAGGGTGGTGGTGACAGCAGAGTGGCACATCAGTGGTGCAGGGTCTAGGGTGCCCCGTGGTGGCCAGTGGAATGCCGGTGACACTCGGCAGGCAGTACTGGGGAGCGACACAGAGTGGAGTCACAGGTCGGGAAACTTTGCGGAGTGTTGAGGGCAGCCAGCATGTGGTCAGGAGACGCACCTTCTCAGAGCCACAGCTTCCTCGTGAGTAGGGGTTGGGGTGAGGGGTGGATAAGACCACCTCTCTGGGCATCTTCCTCTTCCATCTTGTGCTCATAGGCTTGAGTTCAATGAATATTAACCAGTAAATGGGGCATCACAGCCTGAAGGTCCCCAAATCATAGGTAAGGAAAACAGAACACTGGAACATGGCTCAGGATGTGTGGTTGTAGGAGGTCCACCTTCATCCTGGACACCTAGCCACTAGCTCCACAGCCCCTTCTGTGAGACAGCGAACTCAGTTCAGGTGCAGAGCACAGCCTGCAGGAGGCACAGAGGCCCTTGTGCTCACAGAGAAGCACTCCAGGGGAGCCAGGAACAGTAACAGGGTTGTTCCTTCAGAGGAAGGGATGCATAACCTGTCATCCACCCAGAAGGCTGGAAGCAGACATGGTTAATAGCTGGGTGACCTTTTGTGCTGTCTTTGTGGCCAGGACCACACCGGATTCTCCCCCAGACCCTTTCTGTGAATTTGTCCATCTAGAGAACCCATTTTTATGAAAGATGTCACGTGTACAGAGTTTTGATGTAGTCATGTCTTAAGCTTTACTGTGCATATGGGGTTGAGTTAATTATCACCAGGAAAGTCCACCAAATTGCAGTGTGCTTAAATATGCCTAAAATAAACCACTTGGGGTCAGACTCCTGAAGTTTGAACCGACACTGTCTACTTAGCTGTGCTGGAACAAACTACCTTCTTGCCTCCTGCAGATGGTCACTCTGCTGGCCACGGTGGCTGCTGAGACCCCTGCACAGCCTGTCCCACAAGGCAGCACTCTGCTCTCAGGCTGGCTTCTCCCAGCTGACCTGTGCTGAATCCCCTTCTGGCCATTTCAGTAGTGTCCTGCCTGGTTACTTCTGCAGTTGAGAGTTTTTAAGTGGCAAAGTAGCCAGCCTTGGCAGTTCACGGGCCGTGATATGGGGATAAGCACAGTCTCTCTCCTTGGTTCTGAAACCTCTTTGGAAACACTAGGCTGCTGGGGAGTGTAGTTGGATTTTTTTTTTTTTTTTTTTTTTTTTTTTTTTTTTTTGTGGGTTGTAGCATTCTTAAACTTTATTAAAGCTAACTTTTTTTTTTTATTTTGCATTACAATTCAGTTCTACATATCAGCCATGGATTCCCCTGTTCTCCCCTCTCCTGCCCCCCTCCCCCTCCCCCCAGTTTGTGCTGCCAGCTCACAAATAATGACACAGAGACTGTGTCATTATGAAAGCTTAATTATGAAAGCTCGTCCTTAGCTTAGGCTTGTTCCTAACTAGTTCTTATAACTTAAATTAACCCTTATTTTTTTTAATCTATGATCTTCCATGTGGCTTGTTACCTCAAGTCTATACTGTCCATTCTGCTTCCTCTGCATCTGGCTGGTGACTCAGCCTTCCTTCCTCCCAGAGTTCTCTCTCTGCCAAGAAGTCCTGCCTAGACTCTCCTGCCTAGCTATTGTCCATTCAGCTTTCTATTACACTAATCACAGGAATACACAGTGTACAAATATCCCACAACAGGGGAGGGCAGAGTCTGGTGCCCACAAAAGCATGCTCTTCCCTTGAATATAAAGAATTTCTTAGGGCTGGGCATGGTAGCACATGTCTGTAATCCCAGCATTTGGGAGGCAGAGGCAGGTAGATCTCTGAGTTTGAGGCCAGCTTAGTCTATATAGTGAGTTCCAAGACAGAAAAAGCTACATAGTGTGACCCTGTCTCACCACCCCCTACCTAAAAAAAAAGAGTCTTTAGGTAGTAGAGATTTGCAAGAGGGTTTTCCAATTCTGTTCTCATTTTGGCTTTGTCCTCTCTCCTAAATATCTTTGCTACTAACCTCCTGACTTATTCCCACTGGACTCCAGCCAGACTCTTTGATGATATCCAGGACACAATGCAGAGGACCCTTCCTGGTAGAGAGGGTGGGCAGATGCACTCTGCTTATCAGGATCACCTTTAGCAAGCATTCCCCAGATGTCCAGGACTGGCTGAAGCCTGTGTGGGGACAAAACTCCAGAATGTCTGAGCAAAGCCGAACACCAACAGCCAGGTGTTTGAATCTGAATTCAGCCTTCACGATCTTCTCAGCGTGCTCACGGCTCAGTGCTCACTCATTCGACTCTCAAGTTTTTGCAAACTGAAGGTTGGCAGTTGCCTGTTCTAAGCAAGGTCACCCATGCTTGGGGCCCCTGGTGTGACGGGTCTGTTTCACATGACAGAGCTGCTTCATCTGCAGGGCGTTTACCCACCAACCCCACAGTTCCCCAGAGTTTTCTTGAGTGTGAGCAGCAGGAAATATTAGACAGAAGGATTTAGATTGTAGAGATAAACAGAAAATACAGGCTAGCCTCGAGAGGGCCTGAACCTATTCCAATGGGCCCTGACTGTCTCTGCCTCAGGGTATTTATAGAGACACCAAGGGGTGGAGCAAAAGACCTCCCCCCAGCACAGCCAAGTGCAGACCACTTCCTCCCCATCCCTGTCCTGGTACCCATGGCTCCTAAACCACCAGTAGTGTGTAAGTGGCTACTCCAACTTGGGCCCCAAATCTGGAGCAAGTGAGGAAATTTCCAAGGGTGCTGGAACACATTCTCAGTGACAGTAGCTGACCTTCTCCAAAGGGGGAATGGTAATGGGGAGTCTGTGCCCTGCCTTAGACACAACATGGCTTTTTTAGTTTCTCCTTATTTTCCAAGCCCTTTCTCTAGCTTCCTGCTGCTAGGTTCTCTGGGGTTGTGAATTGTATCCTGGTTATCCTTTGTTTTGGACACACACTCTCTTGATGGTTTTCTTTTGACCTTTTCTTTATTCTTCTTTTGTATTTTCTATTCTCTTTTCTTATCTCTATCCAGACATGTCCCTTCTGTCTCTCTTGATGTTTTCCTTCTAACTCTGTCTTTATTCTTCCTTATTATCTCATTCCTAATGTTTTCCTTCTCCTTCTTCTGTATTCTTTCTCTTTAGCTTTTATACCCCAACAGAATCTTTCAGACAATATAGAAATTACAATGCGGTTACATTATGTTGTTCACATGAATGATTACAATGAATATAAGTAAGAATCAGCATGTTTTCCATATCCTTTACATGATTAAACATTTTACGTATTACAGGTGAAAAACAAATTATCCCCAAGAACCCACATACATTCATGCCCAAGCAACTTGTAGATTAACAGAGTGTAAGCAAGCAAGATATTCCACTAACAGGCTGCATTTCGCAGTTACAAAGAAAGAATCAATTACTTTATTACTTATCTCAAAAGGTAATTTTAAAAGAACCACAAATCCAAACTTTTGTATATGAAAAAGAATCAGTAAGCTCTGTGTTAAACCTTTAGGGTGCATACCCACTCATCAATAGTTTTTTTTTTTAATCAGGATATTGAGGGCAGAAATGGATATAAGGAATTAATCATCACATTTGGTCATCAATGTATCCAAACAAGAAAGGCACATCAGCTAATGATAATTGGCCTGCTTTGTTCTTGTTCCCGGACCTTAAGGAGTTCCTCACTCAACTATGTGCCTTTTTAAAACTTTAGATGGTCTTCTTGGGTTTTTCACCTCAAAGCTACTTGACACACCCATTCACACCACGCCAGATACCAGAGGAAGATGCCAGCAGCAAACGTGTGAAGACACAGGAGAAGCTAAAGACATTCTGGAGTCTGTGGTCATGGGGCCTCAGCTAGCTGGGATTCACCCTGAGATTCGTCCATCAGGATTTTCCGTCTGGTGGTTTGACACCTCCATCTGCAATTGCCACCTGCTGCTCCTCTGACTTGGCCACTGGCATGTTCTCGTACAGCCCTCCCTGTTCACACCCACCATGATTCAGTCCCATTTCCACTCTGGCCCTTCATTTTAGACTCCAGTTTCTGTCTTCTCTGTGAGTCACTGGCTGTCTGCATTGACCTTGCTGTGCTTGGACACAGAAACACAAACTCCTCAACAGTCAGTTCCCTAGACTCAGGCTATGTCGTATGCCTCCTCATCCCCACCCCTGTACATGTCATCTCCCCTGGACTCTTAGCTCCTTGAGGGAGGGGGTCACTGAGGCAGGTATTGCTGTGGATATTGTTCTGTATAAATGAAACACTGACTGGCCAGTGGCCAGGCAGGAAGTAGGCGGGACAAGGAGAGAGGAGAATTCTGGGAAGTGGAAGGCTGAGTGAGGGAGACACTGCCAGCCGCCACCATGACAAGCAGCATGTAAAGATGCCGGTAAGCCATGAGCCATGTGGCAAGGTATAGATTTATAGAAATGGGTTAATTTAAGATATAAGAACAGTTAGCAAGAAGCCTGCCACGGCCATACAGTTTGTAAATAATATAAGCATCTCTGTGTTTATTTTATAAGTGGGCTGTCAGACTGCCGGGGCTCGGCGGGACCCGGAGAGAAAACTCCAGCTACAGGTATGACTGCAGATCCCTGTGGATCTGCTCAAATTCCCGCAACTTCTCCTCCAGCTTGTGAGCCAGGTCCCGCAGCGCTCCCCCTGACTCTGTTGTTGCCCCATTGTGCAAATCCATTGAGTCAATCACAAGGTGATACACATCCAATCCAAGTGAGACAAGACCTAAACCTGCTGCTCTAAATCTGGCTCCTCTGGTCATTGGAAGAGCCAAGCCAGACAAGGCCTGCTCAAAACCTTGGGCAAAGTTTCTGAGATTCCTGGCCTGTGTTCCTGAGCGAGAACTGGCCCTGGCCACCCTGATGGCACGGATCTGCTGACCTATGGTTTTCCAGGCACTGACTAAATCCACACCTGTGTTAATTAATTTAAATGTGAACTTAGGGATGATATTAAGAATCTCCTTAATTATATTCTGGCTGGCCCCAACTAGGCGCCTGGCTTCAGCCTCATCTGACATTCTGATTGATTCTTCCACAATGGTGGTGGTGGCACCTGTCACACCTGCTGTTGCTCCTAGCCCCACCCCAGTTGCTGAGAGCAGCAGACTGGCCCCTCCTGTGAAGGGGGCCAGAACTAATCCAAGGATGCCCAGTACTCCAGAGGCAGTGCCAACAGAGCCGGACACCACATTGGAGATGGTGCAGCCCCTGTGCACCTGGTCAAGATGGTCAGCCAGGTCTCGGAGCCTCCTGATGTGTTCTTCAAGCTTCCTTTTCAACTCAGGAAATTCTTCCAAAAACCTCCTTTTCTCAAGCCTGTCCTTTTCATCTGTGGGCTCCTGTGCTAAACGCTCCTTCAGTGCATCATGCAGTGCAGCTTCCTCCTCGCTGTGACGGAAGAGGTCAAGTGCATGAGAAAAACAGTTATTTAAAGCTAAAACCTTGTTCAAACTTCACTTCCATATGACAAACCCAACAGGGAGCAATTTTTTTTTGCAGAGATCCATAATTTTGCATTCTACCATGAGTTTTGGTACTTCACAGATGCCCAAGGTTCTTAGTCCACAGCGGTCAGTATGTAAAGTCAAGTCAAGACATTTGATAAAATTAGAGGCACTTGATAACATGACTTCACTCAAGGTCAATGTCATCACTATCTGTGGGAGCCCTGCAGATGAACACGGGGATGGGGACTTAGAGCAAATACTGTTTAACTCAGAGAACTGTGTGTGTTGTGAGGGATTCCCCTTTTCCAAGAGTCTCCTCTCTGCCCTCAGCTGCCAGAAAGTCGTCTGCAGCCCGTGCAGTACCCAGCCTGCAGCAATGCCTGTGCTTGCCAGGGGAGCTCTGCAATGCACCATACACAGTGCTCACCAAGAATGGATTCTTCAATCTGAAATGTTCCCAAACCCGAGCAACTGAAAGCTCCACATCTGTCCTCACGGGACAATACACAGCGACAGCACATTTGTTTTAAAAGCTTTGCATAAACCAGCTCCATCTACTGTACACAGTGTCCACATTAGGGTAGATTTGGATCCCATGTGTAAGATACTCCACTAAATATCTGCACATATTTCAAAGTGGGGAAATGCAGGATCTGAGATGCATCTGTTCCCAAGAATTTCCTATAAAAATGCTCAACCTTACAGATGTGGGGTGTGGTGGGAACTCGGGTGCCATTCCTGACCTTCAGGGGAACTGGAGGCCAAGGCACTGACTTTAGGAAGATTCCCATGTGGACGGTGTCGATGGAATCCATCTGTTGCTGGTGTCCCTGTAAGGGATGTGCTGTCTCTGCCCTCCCTGACTGGTGCCTGTAAGTCACCAGGTCTCTGTGTGTACAGAATGGCTCCATCTCTGTCCCCTAAGGCAAGAGTCTTGAGCAATGTCTGCTTGAGCCTGTTTCAGGATGAATATTCTTTCCTGGGGTGGGCTTCCTGGTGTGCAGCAGTCATGTGATTTCCTGGTGTGCAGCAGTCAGGTGACTTGTGACACTGTGATTCAGGACAACACTGTGTCCTGAGGAGAAGAAACTTCAAGCTTGAAGCTCTCTCATTTCTGCCTGGTGCATGTTTTCATTGGCCCATTTTAACCCTTTGTGCTCCATGGTCAACTGTAACTATCTTATATGTGAGTTTTATGGGTGATTCTTGAAAATTCACAATCCTGGTTGGTTTGGAGCAGTCCTTTATTAACAGCTGGTGTTAAATATAAAAAGAAGGGCTCACTGAAACTCTTTTCTCAGTTTTTTCATTTAACTATCTCTGAGAATTAATAATAAAACCCCAAAACAAACCCCTCAGAGCCACAAGCGACCCTCCATATCATTTTGCCTGCTGCCTGCTTTTTGCAGATTCCCAAATTCCTTTCCCTCCCTGGCTGGAGCTCACAAGGTCAGTGCCTGCCTGAGGTGACTGAGCCAGGACAGCTGCCACTGACCCTGGCTGCATGCTGACCCCAACCCTCATTCACTCCTGACCCACCACCTGACAGTTCTAGTTCAGTGTTCTGCAGTCAGAGGCCACCAGACTAACAGACCCCACAGCTGGTGACAGTGTCACATTTGAACACAACAAGGCCACGTGCAAAGATGCAAGGGGCCTGGAGATCACTAATAGTGATAAATAGGCTGGACATCCCCTGAAGTTAGACAAGACAATAAGGGTAGTAATTTCCTCTGAGATGGTGACCTGGGACCCCCTCAGACTCTTGAGTTCTGCAAACCGTCCTCTAGCCACACTGACTTTGGGCTCTTTCTTCTAGCCACACATCCTTCCTGATATTCAGTGAGCTATGTGTAGAACAGAAGAGGGCCCCAAATAACACCTGAGAACTCCTGAGCACACACAGCTGGTGGAGGGCACACCCTAGCACATCCCTGCACAACCATGATGCATGAGGTCAGAGCAGAGGAGATAAATGTCCTTTGTCCCTCTTGCATGTCCTCTGCCAGGCCTCTTCTTGTGCTATCAATTCCTCTTTCCTTCGAGCCCTGCTGTCCCAGCCTTCCACCTACACCTCCTCTTTAGGGTCACTCACAGTCTCCCCTGAACCCTGGCTGTGACCCTGGCCCTGGTCTCTGGGCTTTGGGAAGGGTGAGGCACTTGGTTTTCCATCCCTGACCTGTTCCTCACCCCAGGCTGTCATCACCATGTCCTTTCAGACTGAATTCCCATTCCTACTGAACATACGGGGGCTCCAGATCTCAGTAAGGACAGTCAGGGTCAACCCAGCTCTGTGCAGCTGCACTGTGGGCTCTCTGCCTCCTCAGTCCCCAGAAAGACCCTGCCTTTGTTGCAACTCCTCAGATGGGAAGAAAGTGACTGAGACAGAACCTGGGGACTCAGTTGATCATGTCCACACTTATCTCAAATAAGTTCATGATTCCAATCTCCCCCAGGAGACCCTTGGCCCTGGTCTCTTCATACTTTCCAAAGTATGTCTCAGTGATAACTTCCAGCAGTACCCACTGTGTACTGCCACATGTTGAGAACTCCACACACATGATCTGATTTTCTCACACTGCAGTTTCATGGTGGTGAAACTCACCAAGTGCTAACTAACTTGCCAAGGTCACATAATTAGTAGAGGGCAGACATGGTCCTGGCACCTTGAGCGACATCTTCAATCAACCTGAGGTGATTTCCATCAAGGAATAACATGGTGGAAACACTACTCTTGGATGCTTGAGGAGGGTCCATAACCCCCCTTCCCCCCAGGACTGCCTAGAGTGGGTATGCTTGCCTAGGAAAATCCTCATCCTCATGATCTGGTGGGCAGTGCTCAGTGCACCATGCAGGTTACCTTGACAACCCTGCTGCCTCCACAAATGCCTTCCAGACTCCATCTTCAGTTATCAGGCTCTTCAGATCCCTTCTGAGGAATTTCTCTGTGAGTAAATCAGCGAGTTCAGATGCGACTCTTGTTCCCACTATTTACCAAGAAGAAGAATGAGGTTAGAAGACAGTGTGGAAGGGGTTAAATACCAAGTAGCAGGAGGTGGTGGTACTCCATATTCTTGAGAATGTATTCATGGGTCCTAATGGAGTCTCCAGGGTTGGAGATTCAATGATGTCCCCCAAATTCATATGTAAAATCTCTTAGGTCCAGCAACTCTATTTGGAGACAGAACTTTAAGGAAATAAAGTAATAAAGACCAAATTAGTGGGTTATCCATTATCTCTTTGTGTCAATAATGGAATTTTCAAAGAGAATGCAATTAATATCAGTGTCTTGTGAACATGGCAGGACTCAGGGCTCTCAGAAGCCAAGGCATCCATGAGCCCTTGACTCTTGAATATTTCATGTCTCCAAAGCCAGGACCACATAGACAACACTTCCAGGTTTGACTACCCACTTGGAATACATCCTTGTTAAATTCATCCACCCAACAGCTTGCTTCCAGAAGCAATGGCTTTCTGGAAGCAAGAAAGCTCTGTGTTTTCTCCATTCTCCAGTTGGAGCTTAGTTGGCTGCTCCTTGCCTGGAATGCACCCTGCCGTTATCCCACTCAGTGCCCTTATGTCCTTGACAGTCACAGTCATTCTGTGACATTCAACTTTCTAGTGTCCTTTTCTCCCCAAATGCAAAATGTCAAACATCTGTCATTTCTTGCTGTCCCAATTGCTTTTTTTTAATGTAGGTCTATATTGTAGATCTAAAGGGTTACCATTAATAACCATCCACAGACTCGATATTATGCTCTGTTGACCTTTCCCCCACCAAAAAATTAGTCCATTGCTTTCAACTTAGCCTTCTGTAAATTCTCAGGGCATGGACAGAAAAAAGCCAGATTACTGGCCAAAATATCACAGGAATGAACTTTGGCCCAGAATATTGGCCAATAAATGTCTTGTTTCACTCTGAACCCTCGTAAGCAAGCCACAACTCTTCTCTCTTGCTCTCAGAACTACTGTCTGCCAGGATCTTGCAGTGTCGACCCATTGTGTTATGTTTATAGTATTCAACTGCATTACATTTCCAAAGTCTCCCTAATTTCTCACATTTATATATCCCTCTGTCTGTCTATCTATCTATCTATCTATCTATCTATCTATCTATCTATCTATCTATCTATAGATATATCTGTATCTATCTATCTATCTATCTATCTATCTATCTATCTATAGAGAGATAGTCATATCTAGCTGCAGATATATCTATATATCTATATCTAGTCATGTTTGTCACAGCAAGAGCCCTCTCAATGATGCCAACTTCTGTATTAGTTCCTTTTCTGTTGCTGTACCATGATAGGAAGACATTAATGAAGATTCATTTTGGCTTCCAGCTCCACAGGCCTAGATGTCCCTAGTGGAAGAGAAAAGACAGAAGAAGGTACTGGAAGCTGAGAGATCACATTTCAACTGTACCTAAGAAGCATAGAATGTTCTAGAAGGTGGGGGTGGGGGTGGAGATGAAACTATGAACTATGTTTTATTTAGCTTTATTTTATTTTATTTTATTCTGTTTTTGAAACACAGTCTCACTATGAAGCCCTGGCTGATCTGGAACTTACTGTGTAGACCAGTCTGGCCCCAAATTCACAGAGATCTAACTACCTCAGCCTGGTAAGTGCTGGGATTAAGGCACACACACCACACTCAGAAAGGCCATAAACTCTAAGAGCCCACACAGAGGGATGAATCTTCTCCAGTATGCCTCCATATTCTAAGACTTCCTTAAACTCCCTAATGGCAACCCCAACTGGAGACCAAGTGTTTAATGCAAGAGCCTCTGGGAGATGTTGTACAGTCAAGTCAGCACCCTTACACACACACTTATATACTTAATTCCCTTTCCATTGAAACCTTGGTGATCTGGAAGAAGTCAGAGAAGAGGAAATTGGCTACCTGATACTGCCATGAGGACGTTCTGGTTCTGAGCACAAGTCAAGGATTTCCTACAGGTTTTCCTTAAGGCTCTTCAGGTTTCTAGACTGGAAGGAGGAGGAAAGAAAAAAAAACTGTGAGATGCAATGGGGACATCTGCAGGGACATCTGGTGGGAGGGGCCAGAGGCCCAGTGGTTCCACCAGGTGGCAGTGGAGGACCAATGGACTGACAGCCAGAGTGCTTCTCCTCCAGTGGGCCCTGCACCGCTACTTCCAGATGTCAGTCATCTGGTCTACCCTCCCCCCTCATCCTGGGCAAGTCAGAGCTCTCATGTTCTGTTAGTGTCCACGGAGAATGTCACCAGCTAGGGACATATCCATGAAGAAAAGCAATATACAATCTACATGTAGGAGAAATGCAAAGGGATATTCTGTCAACTGCTTGGTGGGAACACATGAGAATTAATGTTAATAGGAAAGATTTACTGTATGTCTGTAACACACAAGGCTCCTCACACACACCTCATTAGGGGATCAACATCCTCCATGAGATGAAGACTGCTGTGAACCCCATTTTTAAAGTGGAGGGAAGACCATAGGAATTTGCTGACACCCCCAAGATATCACAGGAATGCCGGACTAGAGACTTGACCCTGGGTTGTTCTGACTGTCAACCCACCTTTTAGATATGAATCTTCACTCTCAAAAAAACACACAGCAGCATTCCCTCCCCTCCTCATGTGACTGTGAATGCTTCTCACCCACATCAGGGCCTGAGCCCTTGAATAGTTAAATTCACAGGGTCACAGTGATCTCTCAAAGTTCACCCCCTCCTTGTTTCCTCAGGATCCTGCACTCCACCAGGGCTGGAATCCCGTCACACCCTGTCACTGTTCCTGCTCCGGCCCATCCAGTCCTCTGCCCTCCCTAAATGTTCAACCTTAGGCAGCTTCTAATCATCATGTGAAATAAACACTCTCTTAAAAAAAAAATTTGTGCACTGTGGATAACTTACTGGAAGATATTTCTAGAAGCAAAGTGATTGGATCACAGAGCTTCAACATTTAACTTTTTCATAACATGAGGCTCAATGCTGTATAAATAAAGTATGGGAACTCACACTCACCCGAGCATTGCGTGGGGGTGGGCATTTTCTCTAGATCTACTATTGCACAATAGATCTGACTGCACGTGGTACCTCAGCACTGGAGAGGCTGAGGCAGGGTGGTTGCTGGCAATTTGAGGCCCACTGAGGCTTCACACGGAGACCCTAGTTCTAACTAAGAACAAACAACACCAAGGTCTGGGTCTGGGGCTGCATTTCTGTGGTGGAAAGTCCCTCAGTGTGTTTGAGGCCCTGGGCACAATCCCTAGGCACAAATGGACAAGATACTCAGCTCCTCCCTTCAGGCTTGCCCAGTCTCTCCCTGCCCTGGATGTCCCATTTCCTAGGGCACTTCTCCACACTACCCTTGCCACCTACCCCACCCCCACTCCTCCTCCTGCACCAGTGGACTTAGCGTGATCCTGGTGGCCAGGACCAGCTGTGCAGCCTCTTTCTCTAGGGCCCAGCAAGGGTCCCACAGGCACCCCACATCTCTAGCAGCGGAACAGCAGAGTGTGCTCACAGAGACCATGTGGGGTCAGAGTGGCTTGCTCTGTCCAAATGGTTGGGAAGTGCAGGACAACAATAAGAAAGCAGACAGACAAACCAGAGTCTCCAGGCATCAGGATTTGCTCTTCTGCCCTGAGATGGTACAAGGGGAAATAACAGCCAGGTAGTAAGTAACCATGGAGACCCGTGGGACAGAGGCTCAGACACATGGCTTCCTGGAGCTAGTTGGTTAGACCCCAGAAAGTGGGTGCATGTCCATGTCTGTCTTATTCTTCACCTAGATACGTAAGACAGAGCCTGTCATTTTCCCCATCCCCCACAGGCTGAAATGATACCAGGTGAGGCCCAGAGGACACAAGCATGCCACCCACTGCTCAGCCTCCTTTCCAGGCTCCTGGACAAGCCACTGTCTTCTGCAGCCTCAGTTTCCACACAAAGCCTGGCATAGAATAGGGCCTCAGAGACAGGTTGGGGGACACCCAAACCCCACAGCTCCTTGTATCTCAGAAGACAGCCTTTGTCCCTATCCTGCTTCAGTATCAGCATCCCAGGGCCAGCTTTACTGACCAGGCCCCTAAGATGGCCAGGCTTAGGCCCCCGCCCTCCTCCATCTCTCTGTTTGCTCCATTTCTCAGTGGAGTGGGCACCCCAAGCAGACACCTTCCTTTTGCAGTTTCCTGTCATGTCCCAAGCATTCTCTCATCCAAGGTGAGCCCTCGAAGATCAGCGAACCCATTTGAGGGCTTCCACAACCTTTCTTGTGTTTAGGAAGGACAGCCACACCCAACCCAGCTGAGAGCCAAGATCTACTGTCCCTGAGTGCATCTATAAAATGGGTCCACCCCTCTTCTAGAGCTGTGGCGAGGATGAGCAAGTGGGGGAACTGATCACCTCCCCCAACTTACCGTGGAGTCTTCTGTCCAAACTTGAGCAGGACCCAGGTCTCAGGAGTGTGGGTGCCGCCACTGGCCGTGTGTGAGACAATCTGACAAAGGCCAGGACTCAAACTGAAAGCAAAACCTCAGATTCAGCTTACTGACCCCACCCTCACACACTTTCTTGTCCATTCTCTCACAAGACCAACGAGTTTCTAGATTCCTCTTTGCACACCCCCATGTTGTTCGTAGGTTCTCCATGGTCTTTCAGACACAAGAGTCGGCCACCAGAGTGGCTTGTGTGGCCCTTTCACAGGGGTTGCCTGAGACCATTTGCATTTCAGATATTTACATCATGATTCATGATAGTAACAAAATTACAGATACGATGTTGTAATGAAAATTTTAGGTTGGGGTCACCACAACATGAGGAACTGATTAAGGTTGAGAAATACTGCACTAGAGGCTCAGGAACCCACCACAGATCACTCTCCACACCTCCTGGGTTCTGACCAGCCCTGGCTTTCCCCAAGTACACCTGCTAGGTGGAAGTTTCTGTTAGGTTTTTGACTGCCAATATGGGAGTATTGTAGGGTGAAGAGGTGGGACATAGAAAACCACTTGGGTAAAAGAGATTGAATGATGGGTTTGAGGCCTCTGAGGCTGGTTAAGGATGGAGGGGTGAAGAACAGCCTGATGTGAGAGGTCTGCACTGCCACCTGAGGCCATGGTGTTATCTGGACCTGTGCTGCCACCAAGGGCCATGTCTGTAGCAGGGGTCTCTGTCAATGTCTGTGATCCATGTTAACCCCAAAGGCTGTGTGGACTGTCTTGGTCTGGGCAGCTGTCTGAAACCATGTTGATGTCTGAGTTTTGAGCTGAGCTGACCAACCCCACACTGGCCACCACACAGTGGTGCCAGCAGTGATATGAGTACAGGAGAGATGGCCTTGCCCCTCTCCTGGGCTGTGTAAGAAAGCTAGCCCTGATGGTATGGGAGTGGGAGAGCCCAGATGATGCGGGCTCAGGAGAGTTGGCCCCACTCTTTGCTGGCCATAGCACTCCAGAGAGTCAGCCTGGCCACTCACCTGGGCAGCTTGGGAGAGAGCTGGCCCTGGTGGCTTGGGTGCAGGAGAGCTGGTGGGCTGACCAACTCAGCTAATACACAGGGCCAGGGCCAGGGCTTTGAAATGGCCCACCCCAACACCTAACCCATCTATGAGCTGCTGGAGCACATGAAGGGACTGGTCCTATGGAACCATAGCCTCAGGATCTCCATGGCCCAGGGTAACAGTAGGATATGCAGGAGTCTCAGAGAGGGTTTATTATTGATGGTGTAGCAGAAGCCAGAGGCCTGAAAACAGATCAATGACTCATTGCAAAGAACATTTGCAAGTAAAGCTGTTTGGACAAAAGAGTATTATACTGTGTGATAGATACACCATGACACACCACAGCTTCTACAGCAAGACTTTCTTTCTTGTTTTAAAATTTTATTTTCTATTTTTTTGGGGGGGATTATGAGGGTAAAGAGCAGAAATGGTAGGCCTGGGAAAGGAGAGAGATTGGGGTTCATGATGTGTAATTCATAAGAAATCAAAACTATTTACATGGAGAAAAGAAATTGAGGAAAAGACAAACAAAATTTGGAGGAAATCAGTAAATCCCATAAAGAATGCCAGTAAAGTCGAGAAAAAACAAACAGGTGAAGGAAATTGCTCAAGACCTGAAAACAGAAATAGAAGCAACAAAGAAAACACAAACTGAGGGAATTCTGGAAATGGAAATCTAGTAAACAAACAGGAACTACAGACACAAGCATCACCAATAGAACACAAGAGAAGGAAGAGAGAATCTTAGGAGTTGAAGATATGCTAGAGGAAATAGATTTGTCAAGGAAAGAAAATGTTAAATCTAAAAAGTTCCCAACACAAAACATCCAGGAAATCTGGGATACCATGAAAAGAATACCAAACCCAAGAATAATAGGAATAGAAGAAACAGAAGAATCCCAGCTTGAAGGCTCAGAAAATATTTTCAACAAAATCATAGAAGAAAAATTTCCAAACCTAAAGAAGGACAGCAAGAAGGTTATAGAACATCAAATAGGCTGGGTCAGAAAAGAAAGTCCCTGTGTCAAATAATAATAAAAACACTAAACACACAGAACAAAGAAAGAATATTAAAGGCTGCAAGGGAAAAAGGCTAAGTAACATACAAAGGCAGATCCATTAGAATACAGCTGACTTGTCAATGGAGACTTAAAAGTCAGAAGGCCCTGGACAGATAGATGTCTTGCAGACTCTAAGAGACCAGGGATGACAGCCCAGACTACTGTACCCAGAGAAACTGTCAATCACCCGAGATGGAGAAAACAAGATATTACATGACAAAGTCAAATTTGAACAATATCTATTCACAAACCCAGCCCTACAGAAAGTACTAGAGGGAAAACTCCAACCTAAGGAGATTAACTACACCCAAGAAAACACAAGAAATAAATAATTCACACCAGCAAAACCTAAAGAAGGGAAACACACACACACACACACACACACACACACACACACACACACACACACACTACCACCACCATGAACAACAACAAAATTACAGGAATTAACAATCATTGGTTATTAATATATCTTAATATCAGTGGACTCAATTTCCCAATAAAAAGACACAGGCTATCAGAATGGATAGGAAAACAGAACATATCCTTCTGCCTCATATGAGAAACAAACCTCAACATCAAAGATAGACATTACCTCAGAGTACAGGGCTGGAAAAAATTTTCCAAGCAAAAGGACCCAAGAAGCAAGCAGGTGTAGCTATTCTAATATCTAACAAAATAGACTTCAAATTAATCAAAAGAGAAAGACATTTAATATTCATCAAAGGAAAAATCCACCAAGATATTTCAATTCTTTACATCTATGCCCTAAATGAAAGGGCACACACATTTGTAAAAGAAACATTACTAAATCTTAAATCACACATCGATTCTCATACATTGATAGTGGGACTCTTCAATACCCTACTCTCACCAACGGACAGATCATCCAGACAAAAACTAAACAGAGAAATACTGGAGCTAACAGAATGTTATGAACCAAATGGACCTAACAGATATCTACAGAACATTTCACTCAAACCCAAAAGAATATACCTCCTTTTCAGCACCTCACAGAACTTTTTCCAAAACATACTTGGTCACAAAACAATTCTTTTTTTTTTTTTAATTTTTTTATTTTTATTTTGCAATACAATTCTTAACAGATACAATAAAATTGAAATAACCTCCTGTATCCTATCAGACTACCATGGATTAAAGCTGGATTTCAACAACAACAGAAAGTCTACAAACTCATGGAAACTGTATAAATGGCAGAAATGAAGAAAGAACTTAAAGACTACCTAGAACTCAGTGAAAATGAATGTACAACATTTCCAAACTTATGAGACACAGTGAAAGCAGTGCTAAGAGGAAAGTTCATAGCAATAAGTGCCTTCATAAATTATTTGGGGGATTTCATACTAGCAACTTAACAGCACACCTGAAAGCTCTAGAAGAGAAAGAAGCAAACACATGCAAGAGGAGTAGTTGGCGGCAGGAAATAAACTGAGAGCTGAAATCACTAAAATAGAAACAGATTAAGACAAACAAAAAGTTGGTATTTTGAGATAATCAATAATATAGGTGAACCCTTACCCAAATTAACTAAAAGACATGGGGAAATTATTCAAACTAACAAAATCAGAAACAAAAGGGGACATAACAACAGACACTGAGAAAACCCAAAGAATCATTACCTTATACTTCAAAAACCTGCACTCCGCAAAATTGGAGAATCTAAAAGAAATGGATGATTTCTTTGATAGATACCACTTACCAAAGTTAAGTCAAGATCACATAAACACTTTAAGTAGATCTATAACCCTTAAGGAAATAGAAGCAGTCATTAAACTCTCTCAACCAAAAAAGCCTAGTGCCGGATGGTGTAAGCACAGAATTCTACCAGCCATTATCAGAAGAGCTAATCCAATACCCCCCAAATTATTCCACAAAATAGAAACAGAAGGAACATTGCCAAATTCATTTTATAAGGCCACAGTTACCCTGATATCCAACACACACAAAGATTCAACAAAGAAAGAGAACTATAGACCAATTTCTCTAATGAACATTGATGTAAAAATACTCAATAAAATACCCTCAAACCAATCCAAGAACCAATCCAATCAAAAAGATCATCCACCATGATCAAGTGGGCTTTATCCCAAAGATGCAAGGATGATTTAGAATATGAAAATCCTTCAATATAATACCCCATATAAATAAACTGAAAGAAAAAAACACATGATCATCTCATTATATGCTGAAAGAGCCTTTGATAAAACCTAACACCCTTTCATGATAAAAATCTTAGAGCGATCAGGGATACAAGGGACATAACTAAACATAATAAATGCAATTTACAGAAAGCCTATAGCCAACATAAAATTAAATGAAGAGAAACTCAAAGCAATTCCACTAAAATCAGGAATAAGACAAGGCTATCCACTCTCTCCATATCTATTCAATATGGTACTTGAAGTTGTAGCTAGAGCAATAAGATAACTAAAGGAGATGAAGGAGATACAAATTGGAAAGGAAGAAGTCAAAGTATTTTTATTTGCAGATGATATGATAGTATACATAGACAATCTCAAGAATTCTACCAGGGAAATCCTACAACTGATAAACACCTTCAGTGAAAGGGTAATATACAAGATTAAAGAAAAATCAGTAGCTCTCTAACATACAAATGAAAAAAATGGGTTGAGCAAGAAATCAGGGACACAACACCCTTCACAATAGCCACAAATAATTTAAAATGTCTTAGGGAAACTCTAACCACACTAGTGAAAGGCCTGTATGATAAAAAACTTCAAGTCTTTGAAGAAGGAAATTGAATAAGATATCAGAAGATGGAAAGATCTCCCATACTAATGGACCAGTAGAATTAACATAGTGAAAATGGCCATTCTACCAAAAGCAATCTACAGATTCAATGCAATACCCATCAAAATCACAACACAATTTCTTACAGACCTTGAAATGACAATTTATTCAACTTCATATGGAAAAGC